TCCCAAAAAGCTGAAGGTGTAGCTTAGTGTTAAGGCTCTGGCTTCAATTCCCAGGACTACCCCGAAACCAACAATACAGCTAGCCCCACTAGCTGTAGTCTTACCCTCTCAACCTGATTTTAACCCAATTTACTATTCTAAAATCAGTCAACTGGGCTTGAAGGTACACACCTGTAGTCCCAGCTAGCTACTCAGGAGGCTGAGGCAAGAGACTCTCTAGCTCCAGGGTAACCTGAGCTACACAGCAACTTCAAGGCCAGCCTCAGTTACCAAGACCTTGTCTCAATGAATGAATGAATGAATGAATGAATGAATGCTAAGAGACAGCTCAGGACTTCTGGGTGAAACCCCCAATAGCCTCCTCTAAAAAACTACAGAGTTTCAACTTACATATTAAATTTCAATTTAAAACCTAAATTTGGAACTGTATGGTCATCTTTAAAACGTGAAAATTTGTGCCTGTAATAAATGCCTCTTTCAAGTTGTCCTTATTTCAGTAGAAAGCTTGTGGAGATCCTAAAGAAAGCATTGTATACGGTCAGGTTTTAGTAATTCTAACAGTAAAATCCTCCCCTTCAGAATTATGTCTGACTAAAGCATAGCTTCAGTTGGATTTTTAAAAACAATGACACTCATTTAACCAATTTCCTAGCTACTATGACAATAATTTTTACATAATGTAAATGTAAGGTCGATTTCCAACAACACGATAAAGTACTATCTCTCGTTTATAAATAACCTGTCACAATCTCTCTTCACAGTAGCCAAGAACTGTTGGTATCAAATGTTTAATTTCAACTGACCAGCAGTCGCTTTTAACTCTTTCCAGAAATGCCACACAATTCCACCTGTAGGGTCTGCAATATCCTTTTAAAAGGTAGTTTAACAATTACTTTTCAAAAGAAACTACTGTCTTCTTTTAAGAGAATTATAATGTGGGTAGAAATATTTCTGCGTATTACATGTTAAAGAATTACAATGTGTAAAAAAAGGAGGGGGGAAAAAAAAAAAAGCCACGTAGCCGCCGTGGGCCGGGTGAGTCACCGCAACTCCGAACCCGCGGCCGCTTTGAGTCAGCGGCGCCGGCCTCGGGTCCGCGTTCCCACGCGGAGACGGAACTGCTCGGCACCGTGTGCCGCGACGCTCCCCGCGGACGGTGACCGCGCCCCTCTCTTCCCTCCACAAGGGTCGCACAGCCTCCCGCGGAGCTCCGGGAGGGCTCTCCCCGGGCACGCGGCGCCCAGAGTCCTGGCCTAGGCACCCGGGGAAGGCCACGTCGGAGGCGTGCGGCCCCACCTGCGCCGGGACCACCGACTCGCGGTGCCCGGGAGGCCGGGCGGGGCCGGTGGGGCGCCAGCTCCGCCCAGGGCCCGGAGCCCC